TTCTGCTTAGCAGTCAAGTGCTTAGGGATGTTGCAATTCAATTCAGAGCAGAAAATAACCTAGTGTGGCCATAATACAATACACAAAGGGTACTTCTTTTTCATCTTAACTTCAAGGCTGAATGTTCAGCAAAATGAATGAGCTCTCTACTTGCTATTAACACTTTTACAAGTTCACTTTTCCTTAAGAAAAAGGTTACACATTGGAAAAACCTTCTAATTTGTTACTAATTAGAAAGAGTGGCTGTCATAAATAAGTGAAAATCCAGGATACAAAACATGTGCCAAGTAGTATAGCTCTTTTTTTTTTTTCTTAAGAAGAAGGATGGGAGGAGTACAAATAACTTTTACTGAGGATCCTACTTCTGGGCATCCTTTCCTAGACCCTTTCCTTCATTTATTTAATTGGCACAGTTTTCCTAGGAAGTAAACAGTATCGTGCTCATTTTTTCAAATGTGGAAATTAAAGCTCAGATATGAAGTAACATTCCAGTTCACCTGTCAAAGTTCTATATTCTTTAAATAAGCTTAGGGAAACTGATCATTACTGGGTCCTGGGCAGGGCCCTTCTACCTTGTATGGATGTCCCTGCATTGCTGGGCATTTAGCATCTCTGGCCCATGGGCACACAATGCCAATAGCAGCTCCCCATAGCAGTCCCTATATATCCTGAACATGCCCTTAAGGACATTGTCATCAGGAGATGTGAACCTCTGCTCTACCACATTCTTTGAGCACTGAGACAAAATACTAAAGAGAGGCAATTCCTTTAAAAGAGTCTCTCAAATCTCTCAAAAGTCCCTTATTTTAGAGAATGTAGGGTTCTAAGAAAGCACATGTATCTTAATGGGATCAGTTACAAAATCATAAATTTATTTCTCATTCATTCCAAGAACACTTGAGTACCTATTTTGGGCCAGGAAAAGCTCTGATTGCATATGGTTGAAGCAGTCAGCTACTAATCAAAAGGTCAGTAGTTTGAACCCACCAGCCATTTCAGAGGAGAAAGATGAGACAGTCTGCTTCCATAAAGATATACAGCCTTGGAAACCCTATGGGGCAGTTATACTCTGTCCCAAAGGGTCACTATAAGTCATAATTGACTCAATGGCAGTAGGTTTGTTTTTTTGAGTATTATGGGCCAAAGGAGCTCTGGTGGCATAGTAGTTAAAGCATTTAGCTACTAACCAAAGAGTTGGCAGTTCAAACCCACCAGCCACTCTGTGAGAGAAAGATGAGGCAATCTGCTTCCACAAAGATTTACAGCTTTAGAAACCTTATGGGGCAGTTCTACTCTATGTTATAGGGTTGCCATGAGTCAGAATCAAATCAATGGCAGTGGGGTGGGGGTCTTTTTTTTTTTTTTTTTTTTTTTCCAGTTATAGGCCAAGTAATCAACTTGGCAGCACATAACAACTGTGCTTTTACAGACCCTGGGTAGCACAGATAGTTAAATGCTTGGATACTAGCTGAAAGGTTAGCAGTTCAAACTCACCCAAAGGTGCCCTGGAAGACAGGCCTGGGTATCTGTTTCCAAAAGGTCACAGCCTTGCAAACCCTATAGAGCACAGCTCTGCTCTCATGCCCAGCCACCACATGGAGGCTTGCATGGTGCTATTATGCTGAACAGGTTTCAGCAGAGCTTCCAGACTATAGACCAGAAAGAAAAGCCCGGCTACTTCCAAAACTCAGCCAATCAAAACCCTATGGATCACATCAGTCGGATCTGCAACCTATCATTGGGATGGCAGAGGACCAAGCTGTTGTCCACTGTACATGGGGCTGCCAACTCGATAGCAGCTAATAATGACAACTGGGCTATTGGCTGAAAATAAAAAATCAAAGAATACATGGCCTCAATTTCCAAAGGGTTTATAGTCTACTGAGAGATGAAGTGTAAGATAGTTGTAGAAGCCAGCACAGGGACTCAGGAAGCTCACTGCAGAAGGCATCTCCCACAGACCGGGTCAGACTGTTCAGAAGGCAGAGGGGATTGGAGGGCAAGGACAGGGTCCCACAGGAGTCAAGCTTCCTCTGAATCTTGAAAGACCAAGTGAGTAGCCAAGAACGGCTGGATCCAGGCCAAGGAAACTGCCTTTGCTAAGACCAAAGCTATGAAACGAATCTGCAGTATAAGTTTAAAATACCTGCATCATTCTTCAAGTTGGAACTTCATTGTGCTTCAAACCCAGGATCTCCTGTTTACCAGACAGGCACTCGAAACAAGTAAGTCATAAGGTAATAACATAAAAAAGTTCTCCTTGATCCATAAGTAATTCCTTCCAGAGCCCGTTTTGCAAGCTCTGGCTTTGCTAGTACAATAAGCCATCAGACAAGAAGTATGACTAATTCTACATTTTTCACAATGAGCAGGAAACTGTTTCTAAGTACTTTGTGGCAACAAGTAGGAGTGTACCTTACTTTGTGACACGGGAGAGTGGTGACAAAAAATTACCCAATGTTGTCTGAAGGGTAGGTTGGAAGGGATTGTCAGTGGATGAACATACCCTTGGTCTCAAGCTCAAGATGAACTTCATCTTGGTTATTATTTTGCATTTGAATGTTGTCACTATCAACTGCAATAATGCAAAAACCTACATTCTCACTGCATTAGTACACTTGTACAGAAAAAAAAAACTAGAAGTCTTTGATTTTTTTTTTTATGCCACCCCTCCCTCACCTTTTTTGGATAGAGCTTTATTTTTGTGGATGTGGTTGGGAAAGCCAGAGGTGGCCTGCTGGGGTGCTCTGAACTTGAGATAGCCCAAAGGCTTCACTTCTGAGCGCTGTGCATAGAACTGGGTGGTTGCTACTTCAGGTTATTAAGACAGTACAGTAATTAAAAGGAGAGCCAGAGTCAGATTAGTTCGGTTTCTCTCTCCAGTGGTAGGGAGGGGAGGGGTGGAGCAAGCCAGCAAGTCTGAGCGGTTCATTCTCTCTAGTCTACAAGGAACAGTCCCATTTCCCCTTGGCAAGGAGCCTGGAGCAGCTGGCAGGTGATGCCCTCTTTTTCCTATCCCAGGTCTCCTCGGATTTGAGCCACCCTCAGAAACTATAATTGTAAACGTGAACGTAGGCTCATGATCATTCCATCTTATTATACAGGCACAGTTTGACCTCGCATTTGACATCTCAAACACTTCTGGTCCACATATTTTTCCCAGAAACTATTGCCAACAAAAAAGCCTGTGGTCCAAAGTGAAAGAGAGTGAATTTAAAAAAAAAAAAAAGAAGAAGAAGAAGAAAAAGGAAAGAAACCTCAGGAGATCCTTCCCAAACGGTCCGTCCCTACTTTCAACCAGGAAGTTCAAAGAAGGCAGGACAGCGTCGCCAAAACTGCAAAACCAAAGGCAAACATGCATACAAGGAAAGAGGGAGGTGGTCTCCAAAGAAACAGAGCCACCCAAATCGAAGAGGTCGACTGTCCTTTTTTCTCTAGCTGATTCCATTCCGTTCCTGTAAACTTTGCTAACCCCAGGAGGGTTGGAAAAAAAAAAAAAAACAGAGAAAGGAGTAGGGACACCACTCCCTCCAGGTACATCTCTGCACCTGCCTCTGTCGGACAGATACGAGGAGAGACCCTCGACCCAATCGCAGTCCAAGCTTCCCGATGACGCACTGGCCGGGGTCCTCTCCCACGTGTGGGGGGCGACGCGAGCATCCTCAGCCCCGTGGTCTCCCAGCCAGCCCCGCGGGAAGGGGGCAGGGAAAGGAGGCACCTGGGAGCTGACCCCTAATACCGGTCTTCTCAGTTTTTCCCCCATTTCCAGCTCATTGTTTCGCGTTAGGGACACTTTGGTCTTCGCCACTTGCCTTAAAGTGCTGCGTATCTGTCTCACTCCATGCAACTGAATGAAGCGCCCACTGGCCTTCTGCGGCTCAGGTGAGTGCCAAGTGGTGTAGGAGGAAGGGGCCCACTCTCTACCACCCACCCTTCCTCTCCTCCTTCCCTCGATCCCCAAGCTTCATCAGGGATGTGTGTATTGGGGTGCGCGGGTTAAGGGGAGCTTAAATTGCCCCAAGCGTCCCTTACCTTCCACAGCCATTCTCTCAGAGCTTGCCTAACGCATGCATAATTTTCTTGGCCGAGGTACTCCTCCTGCCCCGCGCTCCCCCCCTCCTCTCGCTCTCGCCTAAATATTCTGCGCTCATCTACTCCAAGACCAACCTGCCGCGGTCACGCAAAGCGAGGCAGCCGGCTCCAGGCTCGGCGCAGAGCAGTCTGGGAAGTGTAGTTCCAGCTCTCGCCCGGACACGAGGGGAGCTGCACGAGGCCTCCGCCAGGCATGGCCCCGCCCTACACTCAGACCGCACCTCAAGATTCGGTCGGTCGGGTCTGAGCCACCATTCTAGGGGGACCCCAGAGCAGAACCGGGAACCCCAGGCGGCGGTGCGGACTACATTTCCCAGGAAGCCATGAGCTGGGTTTCGTGTCGCTCCAAGTAGGGACCGGTGATTGAGACCTACTCGGTCAATTAGAAGGGGTCAGACACCAAGCGGCGCCGGTGAGGGGCGGAGGACCGAAGCGCCCGGGCTAGTGAAGGGGTTGTGCTGTGGCCTCAGCCGCCTCCACCGTCCACCTGATCTCCTTAAGCACCCCTCCTAGATAAGCCAAGAGTGGTAGTGGGTGGGGAGAGCAGAGCCACTCGTGGTTGTGGTTTGCAGCCTGGGCCAGACCCCGCTGCGCAGGGTGCGGTTGAAACTTGTTCCTGTAAACCCTGGGATTGTGGAATTTGTGGGGAATCTGGCCAGGTGATACAGCTGTCTGCTGATCCTCCAGGGTGGGGTGTGTTCCGGTGACTAAATACTTAGCATAGGCGTGGAGGATGGCTTAAAAAGCCTGAATGGGTAACAGCCTTAGGCTGTTAGGAGCAAAGTGGAAAAGTCACAATAACAGCCTAGAACATCGGATGATGGAAGCCTTGCCTGGTTTCCAGGGTGGGAGGCTTTCAGCTTGCTTCCTGGCCTAGGAGGTGGTTGGTAGTCTGAGATAGAGCCTAATAATTAACGGTGCCTAACAGTCAGTGCTCTTTCAACTAATACACCTGCGCCTTATCACCGTTCCCTTTGCCCTATCTCCAGGTGCTGAGGGTATTGTTTAAAGCTGCCAGGATAAGGGGAATCAGGCGGACTGTAATAGCGCTCTCGAGAGCTGGTAAATATTGATAAAAAATGAAGCCTCCTAACTCCCCTTCTTCCCCACCCTCCCGCACGTATGAAATACAAATGAAACCCTGGCTGGTGGGGGTAAGAGAATGGACTTGGGAACAAACCTGAATCAGGGCTGGATTAAGACTTTTAAAGGTCCTGGTCTCTGAAATGCATATGGTACCACCTCCCCCACTTCCCACTTCTGCTCCCATCACCCCTTCTGCTTCACCTCCACCGGTAGGCAGTTTTTCAAAAATTATTCTGTAAAATAACTGCAAGGAAGGACAAAGCTCTGCTTTTCCCCCCTGATGAGATGACTACTTAGATTTTGGTTTTTTCTGTCTTGGTCATAAGGTTTGTTTTGTTTTCCCGAAACAATTTTGTTTGGGTGTACGTAGGGCACACCTGCTTTTCTGGTGACTAATCCTGTGCTTGGTCCTCCTGTGAGGTAATAGGGCCCTGTCTTGGCATTTTTAAAATACCTGACTTAGTTATCTACTGCTGCTATAACAGACATACCACAGTTGGGTGGCTTTAACAAATAGAAATTCATTTCTCACAGTTTAGGAGGCTGGTCGTCTGAATTCAGGGTACTAGCACTACGGGAGCCTTTCCCCCTTTCTCTGCCCTGAGGGAAAGTCCTGGCTCCTCTCTTTCAGCTTCTGCTCCTGTGCAGTCTTCATGTGGTTGCGCATCTCCCTTCCTCCTCCCTGACTGCTCGCTTGCTTGTTTAATCTCTTTTATATCTCAGAAGAGATTGATTTAAGTCACCCTACACTAATCCTGCCTCATTAACATAAAAAAGACAACCCATTACCAAATGGAAATATAACCACAGGCATAGAGGTAAGGATTTACAACACATATTTTGGGGGATACAGTTGAGTACGGGAGCTCTGGTAGCATAGTGGCTAAGACACTTGCCTGCTAACCAGACGGCTGG